CGGGTGTCTCTTCTGAGCCATTACAAACCAATTCAAAGTGGCTGATGTGAGCCCTTCAGCTGCAGTTATGTGGTGTGTGGTGTCAGTACCCTGAGATAAGCAAGAGACTGAAACTGGAGACGTTTTCCCTGTTCATAGGTCCCCAAACAGTCCTGGGCATTCCCTAGTTGATACAGGCCAAGGCAGCACCAGGGAACATGCTAACAGCTTTACTACTATGGATCCGTACCCTGGCCCTGATCAGGTTATTAATAGAAATGCAGCCTTTAGGCCACTCTTTCAGTGTATTCAGTATTCATAATTGTACGTGAACTTGAAGTATTTTCCATGAGCACATACCTTGAAAATATTTTCCTGAGAGCATGACTTCATTGACCATTCCTTAAACAGTTGGGCCTCAGGTTGAAGGGGCCTTAACTCTGGACGAAGTCTGCTAGACTTCTTGAAGGAGTGAACTTTTAAGCTGTGATCAAACCTTGTGGGAGTTAGGCCACATCTGTAACAATGTCTCATCTCTTGCAGGTCTTTAAATTCCCTTATTTCCTCTCACTAAGGTTGTTCCAAGATGGCTTTGTCCTGAGACAGTGCTTACCTTGACTACCTGCATACAAGAGATTATTTAGCCAAGTAGGATACCTGCTTTCAGAAATTTTGGCCTGTTTATACATCTGTATCTGAGGATCTGTAGTTAGGATGGACAGGAATACTGCAGGAGCAACATCTTTGTCGTGTGGGCTGGGGGTTTCAGGTCTTGTGCACTTCTGATGTAATACATCCAGGCAGGCCTTCATCAGACTTTCTCAGCTGGCTGTTGAAATGGCAGGTGTTTCAAGCAGTTGATTTTTGGAGGCCTATCCTGTGTCTTCAGGATTCCCTTTACCATGCCATAAAGTGCCTCTTCTTCCCAGTTCGTATCGGTGTGGGTCCACCACACCTTTCTAGTGACATAGGACAAACTGGAGGGACCCCTTTTTGCTGAAAGTTAGGCCTCTGTATCTTGTGGTTCAGGGGTGTTTTGGACACCCAACTCCGAAGAAGTTCCCAATGTTTCAGCCAGTTCTTAACACTGCTGTTAACATGTAGCTGTTGTCTCTTACATCCCCTGCAGCACACAGGCCACCTTCGGCCTGGTTTCTCTGTCTGCAGGAAAGCCAGTCACATGCCTTGTGCCATGGACAGAGGCCCCAGCCATGTCTCCAAGCCAGCATTACTGAAAGTTGGAAATATTGCAGTGTATCCTCCCTTCATCCCTCATGAAAGGGCCTTTGCTTTCTAAGTTGCAGATGCAGACCTGGGTTTTACTTTTAACAAAGTCTCCTGAGTGACTCCAGGTGGCTCCTTTGTCTAGACCAAAAATCAAGCAAAAATCCCTCCACCTGTCTTCTGTAACCCAGCTCTCCTATCACACAATAGAAGACCAGCTCTTAGGAGGCAGAAATTTAACTGGGAGCATAAATACAATGCGGAAGTCAACTAGTATGAGTAGCCCCCCCATGCGCTGTCAACCCCTAGAGGTCGTTGTCAGTTTTGTTGCATCTTCCCAGTTGACACTGAGCAGAGTCCTCCAGCTAGCAATAACAGGAACAATTAACCCATCAGCTCTGGCCTAAACTTCTGTGGCTCTCAAAAAAAGTGTGCAAGCTGCAGACCACAGTACTCTGAGGAAGGGGGCGGGTAGTTAAATATGCGAAGGATCTCCTACAGCTGCCCGGACAGAATCCACAGGATTTAGTTAGCTTTGCTCTTTTTCTGTCTCTGGTAAATGAGGATTTGCCAGGAATGTACGTGGTCTACATAAGGTGGTTTGGGTTTTTTCCCCTTTTTCTTCTCTACCACCATTTTCAGATGGCCCTGGCCAATCTTTGTACTGCTGCACGTGGCTAGCCTCCCCTCTGAGCTGACTTCCAGAAAATCAGCAGTTGAGGACCTACCAAGGAAAGTACGGCCCTTCAGATCATCAGATTTGTCTTTGTGATTTTGTCACTCGCCTCTTGAGAACAGCGAGCTGTAGACTAGGCTGTTGCAGTTACTGTAGTGAAATTCCGAGCTGATGCAGTCTTGAAGATTTGGTAGTTAAGGGTTGGCTTTTTCGGTGGAGCTTTGTAGAGCCACTGGAGAGGTTAATTTCGCCAGACTCTGTTATGATGGAGCTGGAGCCTTTTTTCCCACTTCAAGCTCCCAAGTGTCATAGTAATTCAGGCTGAAGGTGACGCATGAATAAATCATAGTGACTGGAAGATAAAAGGACAAGTTTTTTCCAAGCTAGACATAAAACCCCCACCCATGTTTTTCATCCTTAACGTTACCTTGTCTGATCCGTTTACTTCTTTGTACGTGAGTAACCTGTGATAAGCATTACGACAATCATCTAATGGAACTGACTGTCCAGCTGAGGTGACAGTACAGTGAGATACATCACCAGTCCCGTCAATAGAATCTGTAGCATTCCCTTGCATCGGTGGTTACTGCAAGTGGAGGTTCATGAGAAGGTGAACTCATTTTCGACCTTGAAAGTGTAACGCTGCGCTGTCTGTACTAGCTGTCTGTACGTCATGTGTGTGGCCTCGCTGTTTCAAAACTTTCAGAGGCCAGGGGCAAGTCTTTACAGAGATGCCTTATATCCGCTGTATCTTTTAATAACATTGTTTGTGCTGTGATATTGCCTGATGATCAGACCTGAAGCCTATGGAGTACTGCCATTTGGTTTCTCAAATTCCTTGTCTCTGAAATGTGATTTTTGCCAGAAATGTGATATTCAGAATACTGTGTATAGACAGCTAAGATCTGGATAAAGTTGTAGAAGACCCAAGAAGCATCCACTCTCATAAAGCACAGAAAGACCATTTCTCTTGCAAAGATCCTGAGTTGTACTCATGAGGTATGGTGGTTCTTCTCCAG